AGTCATGGCTACCAATTTTCTGGATTTGGTTGGTTTAAATCAGCCTTTATCAGATTAGTTTCCTGGACTCCACAGACATCTGTAAATGCTCTTGTAAGCATATACTTGGCTGTCAGTCAGGAAAATGTCATAGCTCTCATTAAGCACGCTCATAGACAATTTAGACAAATGGGCTTTATGTTTTATTTGCTTTGAAGAGACAGGAAGTTATCCTTTTTTGGGTAAACTCTTTAGACTCTGTATTCTTACTCTTTTTAGTTCACCTCCTTCCAGTAGTGAACGTGGAACCTGGTGTCATGACCCTGCCTGCCTGCCTGGCTGTTGTCCTGAGGCCCTGTGGAAGCAGTAGGCTTGTTCCTGCTTGCTCATGCATGCATGCTACCACCACCACTCCCTCTGACAGGTCAATAAGATTGCATCAGGAAATCAGTAAAAAAAAAAAAAAAAAAAAAAAATCACCAACGAAAAAGAGTCAAATTGAGTCATTCACAATAACAATTTGGTGTGCCAAATATTTAATCAGCCCCTATCAGGTGCAAAACACCTCTATTATTAGGTGTTAGAAACCATGAGGAATGGCAACACGAAGGCAGTCTTTCCTTGCAAGGAACATAGGATCTGAAAGAAATGCAGCTATTATAAATGGTGGAGAAAGATACTCATCATGAGAGAAGTGAAAACCACATAGAAGTTCAGAACATGGAGAAATCATATCTTGTTACAGAGGAAGTGCTATTTAAGGTGGACCTTGGGAGATTAGTATATTTTCATTACGCAGAAATGTGAAGAGCTGGGTAGAGAGTAGCCCAGTGGAGGCTCAATGTGGATTATAAATGAGGGAATAGCAGAAATTGGGGCTGGTAAGATGGGTTGAGTTGGTTTCCAGAAGACTGGAATCTGAAGGTGAGTCACTGGGATTTTAATTCTCTGGGTCAGTGCTGCCCAATGGAAATACAACGTGGGGCACATATGTAATTTTATATTCTCTACTAGCCGTAATACAAAAGTAAAATTAAATACCAAAAATCAAAACCACTGCCATCGAGTTGATTTTGACTCATAGCAACCTCCATTGGGTTTCTGAGATCACAAAGCTTCATGGAAGTAAGATCGCCCAGTCTTCCTTCCATGGAGTGGTTGGTGGGTTTGAACCGCCAACCTTCTGGTTAGCAGTCAAATGCCTTAGGCACTACACCACCAGAGCTCCTTGTAAAATTAAATAGGAGAAATTAATTTTAAAATCCATTTCATTGAGTAGGAGCTCTGATAGCATAGTGTCTAAGGCACTTGACTGCTAACCAGAAGGCTGGCGGTTCAAACCCACCAGCCACTCCTCAGAAGGAAGGTTGGGCAATCCTACTTCCGTAGCGATACTGCCTCGGAAACCCAAGGAGGGGTCGCTATGAGTCAGGGGTGACTCGACAGCAAATAACAACAAAAACATTTCATTGAATGCACTATATCAAAATATTAACATTTTAGTATGTAATCAATATAAGAATTATTAATGAGATATTTTTAATTTCTTTTTATTTTTGTACTGTATTCATTTTCTAGGACTGCTGTAGTCAATTGCCATGAACTTGGTGGATTAAAACAGCAAGAATTTATTTGCTTACAATTCTAGAGGCCAGAAATGAAAAATCAAGGTGTCCTAGGGAATGCTTGCTCTGAAGGCCCTAGGCTTTCCTTTCCTCTCCCTGGCTCCTGGTGGCTCCTAGTCATCTTTGATATTCTGCACTTTTGGCTGCATCACTCCAATCTCTGCCTCTGTCATCACATGTCTCCTGTGTCTCTGTGCCCTTTCTTCTTATAAGAACACAAATAATTGGATTTAGGGTTCATCAGTCCAGGATGATCTCATTTTAACTTTATTATATCTGCAAACACCCTGTTTTCAAATAAGATCATATCTACAGGTTCCGGGATTTAGGACCTGAGCAGAACTTTTAGAGGGACAAAATTCAACCCCTCCTGGTACTAAGTTTTCAAAATCTGATGTGTGTATTGCACTTAGAGCACATCTCAATTCAGATCAAGATGTATTTCAGGTGTCCATAGTTGCATAGGCATAGTAGCTATCATACTGGACAATGCTGCTCCAGGCAAAGAGGAGTCACTCAAGTATTTGAGTAAAGTGGTGCAATGATGAGAAATGTGGTTTAGTAATCTGGTAATGGTGTTTAGGAATGGAGTATGCGAGATGGAATGTGGGGAATCTCTAGGAGGCTGCTTTTCTTGTAGTAATTAATGCAATTCATTGTGAACTAAGGACCTAAATGTTAGGGTGGTGGTAGTTGAGAAAGAAAAAGTGGATACTGGGAATGAATGGGATGATTTCGTTTAAACTGTATGAAAGAGCAAATATGTTTTATTTGACTTAACATGATTGTCAGTGGCTGAACGTCTACTTGCAAAAGTTAACTATGAATCTTTAGGAGCTGCACTTCTAAAGGTCTGTCTATAGCTAGATTCCCAATCTCTAACTCCACTTAGCTGCTCATGTTGGGAAGTCTTCTTCACTTCTTTCAAACAGTAGGAACAGGTCTAGGCTTAGTTCAGGAGCTAGAACACCTGAGTGGGCATACAGTCAAGGCACTGAAATCATCTTTCCAACATTCACAATCATATTTTTTAACTGTCCTAAATATAAAAGTAACAAAATATTTACCATTTCAACAATCATCACAAATACAGTTCAGTGACATTGAATATGTTCATCATGTTGTTCAAACATCACTATTAATCATTCCTGAATTTTTCCGTCACCCATCACAGAAGCTCAATATCCCCTTTGCTTTCCCCACACAATCATATTTTAAGCCTAAAAATATTTAGGGCTCTGAGAACAAGAAGTATGACAGAAGCTGAAGATACTCCTCTTCCAGAATGTTAGGTTTTCCAAATGTGTAACCCTCTTCCCTCCCTTGCACCCCACTTTTCACTCCCCTGTGTCCCCTTTTCTGACAGATATTGATGAGTGCCAACTAAGTGGCACAACTGTGGAGAATTCTGACAGATATTGATGAGTGCCAACTAAGTGGCACAACTGTGGAGAATTCTGACAGATATTGATGAGTGCCAACTAAGTGGGTACAACTGTGGAGAATTTACTATCTGTACAAACATGGAGGGAAACTATACCTGCTTGTGCCCAGGCAGCCTGTCTAAATCTGGACGGACTTGCCCTGGCAGATTGGTGGGTGGTCTAGATAAGAGCGGAGGAACTTGGTTCAGAAAAATTCTGTTCCCCAGTGTATTTGCATTAGCAAGCCTAGAAATTATTCTATTCAAACAGGCTGGAGAGTTTGCTTTCATGATTGGTTGGTGTGGGTCTTGAGAATTTGAAATGGTCCAAGTTGTCTTAATTTAATAGCATCTGGAATAAATCCTTTTTTATTACTCACAATTCAATAAAGGTGGGAACACAGGTGGTTCTCTTTAACTCCGCAACTAATCTCCTGATTTGTAGTGTTGATTTCTGGGGCTGCTGGAAAAACTTTGCAGGGTGAAGCAGTTCTATGAGGATGTCTGGTATCTTATTATTTGAATCATTTTCAAGGATATCAACATAATGTTTTAAAAATTCATTATTTTTTTAATCTGAATTGGAACTCCATCTATCTTTTCTTTGTAAGTGTTCATAATGGCTTCCTTTTTCCTTAACCTTCTTTCCATATCTTTACACCATCAGTACCTTATATGGGGAGCTGGCTTTACCTAGACCCCTAAACAAGATTGATGATTCTTTCCACATCATCTTACTGCCAGCCATTTGGTTTTCTCAGTTCTCTAAGTAGGAAACATCCTAAGGAAGAAAAGTTCTGTGCTTTCTTAGGTCGGTACTTTTTGTTGTTGACAGCTGTCTAGTTAGACCCTGTCTCATGGTAACTCCATGTATTACAGAATAGAATTGCTTCGTGGGATTTTCTTGGTGGTAATCTTTACAGAAGCAGAGTTCCAGAACTATCTTCCACGGACCCACCCGGTGGGTTTGAATCTCCAACCTTTAGGTTACTAGCTGATGGAAAACTGCTTATGCTACCCAGGCTCCTTCCATACTTATTTATTTATTTATTTATAGCATACTTATACATGTTTATAGCATATTTATCTCAAATAATGTGCCTAAGGCATTTGACTGCTAACCAGAAGGCTGGTGGTTCAAACCTACCAGCCACTCCTCGGAAGGAAGGTTGGGCAATCTACTTCCACAGTGATACTGCCTCGGAAACCCAAGGAGGGGTCGCTATGAGTCGGATCCGACTCCATGGCAGTGAGTGTTAAGTAATGTGCTCTTAAAGCCTCTGAAAACTGCTACCATTTAGATAGCTGCATAGCCTAATGTTTTTCTTTTAAACAACAGTAAACCACAATTAATAAAACTTTATCACTCTGGCATCCCATTTTGTTATGATAACATTTCGTTTCTGTCAAAGCTGCTACAATTTTGTCTTTGGAGATTTCCCTGAAAGTCAGTTTTTAGAAGAAAGCATTGTGTGGGGGACTTTTTGAGCCACCCAGGTTACTGGGGGTAATGGACTGTGTGCTAGTTGGTAGTTTTAAAACCACAAAGAGACACTGGTTGTTCAATGAGACATTCTTAAAGCTAGCTGTCATCTTTACATGGTTAGTGTGTGTTTGTGGATGACAGATTTGTTTTTACAATGGATTAGCAATTGTATACGGTGACATAGGATTGACCATGCTCGTAACTGATTCCAATGTGCTTTGTATAAAATAGTACTGAAACTAAAGAAAGAAGGGCTGTCTTCAATAAAGGTAACATAAGGTCTGCTCAGGGATACACAACTACTGTTGCTCCTGCTAGTTCCACTCTTACCAAAAGACACTATTTCACAAACTATTCATAGAAACTAGTTCTTGATAATAATACCTGAAAAGCCCTAATCACTTCAGAAAATGAAGTTAATGTCTTTGGTTCTTCTAGACACTACTCCACCTTCTCATCTCAGAGAAGATGACCTCCATCCTGTCAGACATACCTATCTGGAATGTCCCCCGTCGCATAATGGGTACTGCCTCAATGGTGGTCTATGCATGTATATTGAAGCAGTGGACCAGTACGCATGCAAGTAAGCTAAAATTGTCTCTCAGCTAATATGTGAAGTTTATATGGAGAAGATCTCTACAATAATATTTCTCCTCAGGGAATAAATATATAAATGTATACATATAGATTGTGTGTATCTGTGTGCACGCATGCATGTGTGTGTGTGTGTATGTGTTCTATTGAACCCTCCCTACACCTTCTCCTTCAAGGGCTAGGGGTGAATGTAAATATCAGGAATTAATGACTTTCCCTTTTACTTAAATAACTTGATGTTACTATAAGTATGTTGTTGTTGTTGTTGTTAGCTGCTGTAGAGTTGTCCCTGGACTCACGGCAACCCATACACTATAAAATGAAATGCTGCCTCATCCTGTGCCAGCTCCGTGATTGGTTGCAGATCAGATCATCATGATCCACAGGGTTCTCATTGGCTGATTTTCAGAAGTGGGTTGCCAGGGCTTTCTTCCTAGTTCACCTTGGTCTGCAAGCTTCACTGAAACTTGTTCAGCATCATAGCCAGATATAAGCCTCCACTGATAGGTGGGTGGTGATTGTGCTTGAGGTGAGTGGCCAGGAATTGAACCCACAAAGAAGGCAAGAATTCTGCCATTGAACCACCACTGCCTCCTCTACTATAAGTAGAGTCTGGACACTAAAAGCTGCTTTTACTGATTGAAAAACTCAGTTTTGTGAGAGAATTCCTGAAAACCTGGATTTATTTTCTCCCCAATATATGGAAAGCATCCATGATGTGTTTCTAGCTTATACAAAAGTGTATGTATTCATGGAGTTCTTGTGTGGCACAACTGGTTAAACGCTGGACTACTAAACAAAAGTTTGGTGGTTTGAACCTATTCACTACCACTCCAGCAGAAAGGCCTGGCAATCAGCTTCTAAAGGTCACAACCAGGAAAATCCCTGGATCACAATTCCACTCTGAAACATGTGGGGTCACCGTGAGTCAGAATTGTTTCGATGGCCATTGATTGGTTGTACATATTCACATCTGAACTTCTCGCCACTGATTTTTAAAATTCAAATTTTTTCTTCACTTCTAAATAATTGATTTTTATATCTTTGTTGTTTAGTAACAATTCCTGGGTGTGGCAACTATCCCTTTCTGATCCCTCCTCTCCAAATGCCATAATGGTTTCACAGTGAGCTAAGCATCAACCTGAAAATTGGATTTGAGAAAGGCCCCAAACTGTGGAGGTACTTCCTCTATGTTCACTCAGCAAACTTTCTTGGAGCCTTTAATAAAACACACACTTACCATATCTCATTCCACATCAAATTTTACTTTTAATTAACTTCCTATTTTCAAGGCACTGTGAGGGAACTGCTGATCCCAAAGAACAAATAGGTCTCCCATGGCTGAGGGATCATTTTCTCTGTGCTTGAGGAAGAAGCGATAAAACATTCTGATCCTCACAAGCAGATGTTATAAGCTTAAAGCCTTTTATTATTTCGTCAATAATAATGAGCTGAAGCACAGCCTAAATTATTGGAAGAATAAGTTATATTCTGTGACAAAGTGTGTGATCGAACCCAGGTCTCCTGACAGAAATAATGAGAAAAGCTCACGAATATTAGTCAAAATGACTCAATTCTAATAGAATTCTAGTCTTAGGTTCATATCCACATGCTTTGGGTGTGTAAATAAGATAACTCCAGTACTTAAAATAGTTATCCTTGACTTTAATATTAAGAAAAAAAATTGTTTTTAACTTTTTCATTATTTCTTATTATCCCAAATAATGAAATTATGACAAGTTCTAGTTTATTAAGTTATAGTTTGTTTTACTCAATGACATTAAAATTTGGATTATAAAAGACATTATAATAATATAAAGGATATTGAAGGGCTATGCACTGTATTTAGTACAGTATTTTCATTTCAACCTAATATTGTCAATTCATTAAATGATTGATAAACCTTTTATAACACTGCTTTTCTTCCTGTCATTAAATCCTGATGAAAATATCCCATTTCTCTGGTAATGTTTTATTCATGAGTTGCTACAGAATGACAATTAAACTGGAGATAACATTCAAATTTAAGAACTTTTAATCAAAAGCAATATTTAAAATATCAACAGAGTTCACAGTAATCAAGATTATAACTTTGTTTTTGAATTCTAAACTTCATAAAAATATGGTTCAATCTAAGAATTCAATCCTTTCCTCCTTCTGCCCTGATGAACTTACCTTATGTTTCATTAACTCCATAATAACAAATCTCTAGGGAGTATTTACTCGTTCAACTTTGATTAGAAGCACTTTATAGATAATATTTGTACCAAGTGTTCTTGATATTGTGAGCAGGCTAATAAAGATCTGGCTCTTCCTTGCTTGGAGGCAATGGAGTTCCTCACAGACCCATGGAACCCTAGGCTGTCCTGGGGTGATGCAGAGGAAGTGAGAACTAGAGGTCTCTGTGCCCAAGATGTTCCTCGAAAGTTTCCTAGTCTGGAGATTTTTCAGAGGGCTCCAAACGTCATGTACTCAGAGGAGTTCCTTTTATGTTCTTGTTTGACTTTGAACCAACCCACACCCTTCTGGGCAAGTCTTCTTTAAACCAAGATCCCCCAATACCAATCAAAAAGAAAAGAAAAGAAAAGAAAACTTTGCCCTTGAGTCGATTCCAACTCATGGTGACTTAATGTGTTATTGAGTAGAACCGAGCTCCATAGGGTTTTCTTGGTTGTAATCTTTATGAAGCCAGTTGCCAAACCTTCCTTCCATGGTGCCACTGGATGGGTTCAAACTGCCATGAAAACCTGTCGAGCAGTTCTACTCTGTAACACGAGGTCATCTTGAGTCTGAATTGACTTGATAGCAATGGGTTTGCTTTTGGTTTTGGAGGCTTCACTTGCTGTATGACCTTGTACCAATTATTTAGCCCCTTTGAACTTAAGTCTTCTCATCTGTAAAATGGAGCCATGCTATTGGAAGTAAAATGATTAAAAATGCCTTGCACAGCATCAGACCCGTAAGGTGCTTAACAAATGTTAGCTCCTTTTCCCATCTCCCTCTGAAAGTGACTCACCAAGCTCTGATGACCAACTAAACGTAGAACCAGATCTAGGATCTACATCTTCTTGAGCTTTGTTCAGTGCTTTTTCCATGCTGCCTCTTCCCAAAGTGCAGATTGGTGTCAGTTTTCTCTCTTTCTGGAGTAAGGTGGGAACATGGACAGATAGTTAATTGATCCAGGGGCAAGGAAAGGGGATTCATAAATGAACATCACAAAATGTTTAATAGAATGGTTTTAAAGTTGTTGCTCTTTTGCAGAATAGAATACAATCAATCCCTCAATCCTTTGCTTTCACTTCTACCCAAGATCCTTATAATTTCTGGAAGCATGCATTCCCAGTAGATGGCAGCATTGTTTCATTTACTTTAAAGGTTAGCACATATAATGATTTCTGGTAATTCTAGTAATTACTCACTAACCAAACAGCAGAATGTTTATGAATGGATGTCTCTTTTTCCCTCTATATAGTTTTTTTTCTTCCCTCCTTTAACAATATAGTTAAATGCTTGTGTCAACACTTCTGGGCTAATAGTGATTTTTCAAAAAAGAGAGAAAAGTTACCTCAGCATATTAGGTAGTACCTCCAGTTTAGAGACTTTTATAGCCTAGTCTCAAGTGAGGGACCCTCCCTTCAAGTTCTTTTTCTCTTTATCCTATATTCATTGCAATGTGACCAAACACTTATTTCAAAACCTCCCTTGGCTTTTAGGACAGAGTTGGTTGATGTCGGTCTTAAAAGATGGCTTCTCAGATTTTCCACTAAAAGAAATTGATCTTTAATTAATTTTCTTGAATGTCTTACAGAGGTGATATGCAAATAATCCCCTATCAATCCCAGGGCAGACAGACCAAATAGGGAAGTCCATGCTGCATTAAATTGTAAATCACAGTGCCTTCAACTGACCCCTGATGGCTTATCCATATGCTTCTAAAGAGCTGAATCTGGGAAAGTAGAGACTGAGAGATTGTCTGTAATATGTAAGCATTTTGGGCTTACGGTTACCAATGACCTCTGTTTGTATGTTACCACAGATGCATTGTTGGCTTCGTGGGAGATCGATGTCAACACCAAGAATTGAGATGGTGGAAACTGAGCCACGCTGGCCATGGGCAGCAACAGAACATCACCATAGTGGCTGTTTGTGTGCTTGGACTTGTCCTGCTACTCCTCTTGGCACTATGGGGGACTCATTATTACAGGTGACCCTTGCTTTGCATTGGTACTTAAACCTCTTCCTAACCTCCCAGAGAAGTGCCTGCCTCCTTGAGATGAACATTTTTTACACATTTACTGCATTAAGGCAGTGAAATTACACTTAAAGAAAAAAGTCCAGTGGACTAAAACATTAGTGTTTTCACTTTTCAATATTCCATTCTGGTCCTTGCCTCTTGCACATGAAAGTTATGTGGTTGTTATCGAATGTAGATGTATATTTTTGTATTCTATTTTTTTCTGTTTAGCATTACATGCTCTTCCCCACATGGCCTTCATAACTATTTACATATATATATATATTTTTATGGCTGCCTAAGGTCCTTGGGAAGGAGCTCTGGTAGTATAGTGCCTAAGGCACTTGACTGCTAACCAGAAGGCTGGTGGTTCAAATCCACCAGGCACTCCTCAGAAGGAAGGTTGGGCAATCTACTTCCGTAGTGATACTGCCTTGGCAACCCAAGGAGGGCTCGCTATGAGTTGGGTCCGACTCGACGGCACATAACAACAACAACAACAAGGTCCTTGGGTGTGCAAATAGTCTGCACTGGGTTATTAAGTGAAAGGTTGGTGGTTCAAATCCAACCACCAGTGCTGCAGAAGAAAGGCCTTGTTATCTAATGAAAAAGTGGTTGCTGTCAAGTTGGTTCTGATTGATGGCAACCTTCCGTGTGCAGAATAGAGAGCAATACTTGATAGGGTTTTCAAGGCTGTTACCTTTTGGATCTCCAGGACTATCTTCAGAGGTGCCTTTGGGTGGATATGAACCACCAACAGTCAGGAGCTTAGGAGCTTCCTCATAAGATTGTTGTTACTGTTGTTGATAAGTGCTGGCGAGTCGGCTCCAACTCACGCCGACCCTATGTACAACAGAATGAAACACTGCTTAGTTCTGCACCAGCATCTCAATCCTTACTATACCTGAACGCATTGTTGCAGTTAATGTGTCAATCAGTCTTGAGAGCCTTCCCCTTTTCTGCTGATGCACCACTTTATGAAGCATAATATCCTTCTCCAGGGACTGGTACCTTCTGACAACATGGCCAAAGTAGGTGAGACTAAGTCTGGCCATTCTCACTTCCAGGGAGCATTCCGGCTGCACTTCTTCCAGTACAGATTTGTTCTCTTGGCAGTCCATGGTACTTCCAGCATTCTTCGCCAACACCACAACTCAAAAGCATCAACTCTTCTTTAGTCTTCCATATTCATTGTTCAGCTTTCACATGCATATAAGGCAATTGAAAACACCATGGCTTGGGTTAGGCCCATCTAAGTCTTCAAAGAGACAAGTTTGCTCTTCAGCACTTTAAGAAGGTCATTTGCAGCAGATTTGTCAAGTGCATTATGTTGTCTGATTTCCTGACTGGTGCTTCCTTTGGTGTTGATTGTGGAACCAAGTAATATGAAATCTTTGACAACTTTAATCTTCTCTCCATTTATTGTGATGCTGCTTTTGGTCAGGTTGTGAGGATTTTCATTTTCTTTGTATTGAGGTATAATCCATACCGCAAACTGTAATCTTTAATCTTCATCAGTAAGTGCTTAATATCATCTTCACTTTCAGCAAGCAAGGTTGTGTCATCTGCCTATCACAGGTTGTTAATGACTCTTCCTGCAATTATGATACTGTATTCTTCTTCATACTGTCCAGCTTCTCGGATTATTTGCTCAGCATACAGATTGAATAAGTATGGGGAAAGGATACAACCCTATCACACTCCCTTCCTGATTTTAAACCATGCAGTGTCTGCTTGTTCTGTTCGAACAATAGCCTCCAGGTCTATGTACATGTTCCTCATGAGTACAATTAAGTGTTCCAGAATTCCCATTCTTCTCCATGTTATCCATGATTTGTGGTGATCCACACATTCAAACGCCTGTGCATAGTCAATAAAACATAAGTAAACATCTTTCTGGTATTCTTTGCTTTCAGCCAATATCCGTCTGACACCAGCAGTGATATCTTTCATTCCTTATCCTCTTCTGAATCCAATTTGCCTTTCTGGAAGTTCCCTGTCAATATATTGCTGCAACCATTTTTGAATTATCTTCAGCAAAATTTTACTTGTATGTGATAATGTTATTGTTTGATAATTTTCCATATTCTGTGGGATCTCCTTTCTTTGGATCCGTACAAATATGGATCTCTTCCAGTCAGTTGGCCAGATAACTATTTTCCAAATTTCTTGGCATGGACAAGTAAGTACCTCCAGCGCAACACTGGTTTGTTGAAGCATCTCAGTGGGTATCCCATCAATTCCTGGAGCCTTGTTCTTAGCCAATTCCTTCAATGCAGCTTAGACTTCTTCCTTTAATACCATTGTTTTTTGCCCATAGAATGTTTTAACATTGCAACTCAAGGCTTGAATTTTTCTTTCAGTTCTTTCAGCTTGACAAATGCCAAGTTTGTTCTTCCCTTTTGGTTTTCTAACTCCAGGTCTTTGCACATCCTATTATAATAGTTGACTGTATCTTCTCGAGCTGCTCTTTGAAATCTTCTGTTCAGCTCTTTTATCTTGTCATTTCTTCTATTTGCTTTAGCTACATGCTGTTCAAGGGCAAGTTTCAGAGTCTCTTCTGACATCCATTCTGGTCTTTTCTTCCCTTCCTGTCTTTTTAAGGACCTTTTGCTTTCTTTATGGAGGATGTTCTTGATCATCAGGAATTGTTCATCCCACAATTCCTCTGGTTTTCAGTCATTGGTGTTCAATGCATCAAATCTATTCTTTAGATGGTCTCTAAATTCAGGTGGGATATAATCAAGGTCATATTTTGGCTCTCATGGACTTGTTTTATTTGTGTTCAGCTTTCACTTGAACTTGCATATGAGTAATTAATGGCCTGTTCCACAGGCAGCTCCTGATCTTGTTTTGGCTGAAGATATTGAGCTTCTCCATCATCTCATTCCACAGATGCAGTTGATCTGATTCCTGTGTATTTCATCTGGTGACATCCATGTGCACTATCACCATTTATGGTGTTGAAAAAAGGTATTTGCAGTGAATAAGTGATTGTTCTTGCAAAATTCTATCATGCAATCTCTGGGATCATTTCTGTCACCAAGGCCATATTTTCCAACTACCAATGATTCTTCTTTGTTTCCAACTTTTGCATTCCAATAACCAGCAATAATTAGTACATCTTGATTGCATATTTCATCAATTTCAGACTGCAGAAATTGGTAAAAATCTTCAATTTATTCTTCTTTGGCTTTAGTATTTAGTCTGTAAATCTGAATAATAGTAGTATTAACTGGTCTTCCTTATAGGCATATGGATATTATCCTATCACTGACAGTATTGTAATTCAGGATGGATCTTGAAACATTCTTTGTGATGATGAATGTCACAACATTCCTCTTCAATTTGTCATTCCCAGATTAGAGGATCACATGACTGTCTGATTCAAAATGGCCAATGCCAGTCCATTTCAGCTCACTTTAATACCTAGGTTATCAATCTTTATGCATTCCATTTCTTCTTTGCCAACTTCCAATATTTCTAAATTCACACTTTGTACATTCCACATTCTGATTATTAATGGATGTTTGTAGCTGTTTCTTCCCATTTTGAGTTGTGCCCTATCAGGAAATGGAGATCCTGAAAGCTTTACTCCATCCATGTCATTAAGGTCAACTCTACTTTGAAGAGGCAGCTCTTCCCCAGTCATATTTTGAGTGCCTTCTGACCTGAGGGGCTCATCTTCTGGCACTATATCAGACAATGTTTCAGGGCTACTCATAAAGTTTTCCAATAATGTATCACACAGTGTTTCACAGTTATTCATGAGATTGTCATTGGGCATTTTTTTCAGAAGTAGATGGCCTCATCTTTCTTCCTTATCTGTTCTATTCTGGAAGCTCTGCTAAAACTTGTCCACCATGGGTGACTGTGCGCGTGTTTGAAATACTGGTGGCATAACCTCCAGCCTCATAGCAACATGCAAGCCATCACAGTACAACAAATAAACAGATGAGTGGTGGTTTTATAATTTACTATATTTTAAAATAAGCATGTATTACTTTTGTAATGAAAACACATTTAAACTTTCAAAAAGACTGATCTGGAATATAGAATGAAGCTATAAAGTTCTACCATCACCTGTTGGTATTAGAAATATTATTGCAATAGGTAAGAAATAAATATAAAATAAATTCAAGCAAACTTCTACAGTATGAATGAGAAAAGGTAAAAATAAACTCACATGTAAATTAAATGGATTACAGCAACAAAATATGGCAGTGACTGAAGATATTCCTCATATTTAAAAGCAAATAATCTATCGTCTATTTTTTATTTCATTATCATTTTAAGTTATATTATTTATTAATGTATTTAATACATATATTAATGAAATATTTTCCAAGAATACAAAATAAAGACTAATGTAGCAAAGTGATTTAGACAAAGTTATTTAGACTAGAAATACAAAACACTAGATTTATGAGCTCTGCCGTAGGTTGAGCGATTTGGCTATGCTGCTTAATCAGAAGGGACTCCTTGGGATCATCCCTTTCTTTACTCAAATTGTTGATGAGCCATCAGAGCTTTGCATGTCTGGAAAAACAAAGAACAAAAAATTATTCAGAATTTGTCTAATGTAGAAAAGATATGCACAAATAACTTACCTAGGAACATTTTTATTTTCAGGTGAAGGGTCCTTTTGCAACCAGCTTTCATAAAGAGATTGACCTTGAAAATCATCATCAGGACTGGAGATCTAGAAAGATAAATCAAGTATTGGGAATTAGGGGCAGACACAGCTAAATATGAGCCAATATAAAATCATATATTAGTTACCATCAACTTACAACTCTGTCTATATGTGTGTCATGTTCATTTATAGAAGAAGTGTCTTTTTGCAAACAGCAAGAAAAAATCAGGCCACATTCTTCTTCATTTGTGCTGTCTCCTTGTTGATAATTATGCCATGTATCTAAGATGTAATTTCCTGCTCTTTGGCAAGCTTTTTAATAGAGTTTCAAATTATCACCACTTGAATATAGTGTTACAGCCTCAGAAACCCAAGAAGGGATTGCCATGAGTCAGATATGGCTCAACAGCATTGAGTTTGGTTTTTTTTTTTTGGTATCTTTCCTTTAGTGAGAAGTCACTGGGAAATATTTTGAACATAATGTTGTTGTTGTTGTTATGTGCCATCAAGTTGGACCTGACTCACAGCAACCCCTCCTTGGGTTTCTGAGGCAGTATCGCTACAGAAGTCGATTGCCCCATCTTCCTTCTGAGGAGTGGCTGGTGGGTTTGAACCACCTACCTTCTTGTTAGCAGTCAAGTGCCTTAGGCACTATGCTACCAGAGCTCCCAATATTTACTTTAGGAAGTTGCTTTTGTCCCAGCAGACCTCCAAAGAGGCAAAGGTGACAACAAAGGTAAAGCTAAGCTTGAGGTTGTCAGTTTAAATTCCAGTTGGGGGACGTCATTATTTTAGAAAGTTAATTATATTGATACAAATTTGGGTTTTTATGAATTTAAAACACTCTACAGAATTACAAATTTCTAGTCAAGAATTTTAAGAACTTCTGTGTAGACAAACATTTTTGATTACACACAGTAAAATTATATTTGCAAACATACGTTTCTTATTTTTCTCTACTTTAGAAAAAGCAGTACCATATGATGGGAAATATATGAATTGTGGAGTCAAACTGTCCTATTGTAGATTCAGATTGCCATACACACTGGCTATATATTGTTTGTCTGTTTGCAGCTCTGCTTTCTTAAAAGTGGACCTAAAGCAGACCCTGCTATGTAACTCCGAGAGCATTATAACTCTGAAGGTATTGCTTTTTCCTCTTTAAATCTTAGTTTTCATGCCTGTGAAAATGGAGATCATGGTACCTAAACATCATCTCCTCTGATATCTTCCCTGGTCTTCTTACAGAATTGGTTATTTCCTGTTCTATGTCACTATTCATGGAAAAAATCCACATTTGCACTGGAGTGCTTTTACATCCATTATATTTAATATTTATAAAATTCCTATGTGGTAAGTATGCGTGTAATATACTTTTTTTTTTTTTTTTCAATTTTGCCTGTAGTCTTGCTACTAAGGGAGCTCTGGTAGTGTAGTGCCTAAGGCAAGTGACTACTAACCAGAAGGCTGGTGCTTCACATCCACTAGCCACTCCTTGGAAGGAAGATGGGGCAATCTACTTCTGTAGAGATACCACCTCAGAAATCCAAGGAGAGGTCGCTATGAGTCAGAAATGATTCCACAGCAGTGAGTTTGAGTTTTTGTTTTGTTTTCTTGCTACTAAATAATTTGTTTGATCAGAATGACCTTTCTAATGAACAATAATATATAACAACCTTGTGAAAACTTTTTTCTTTTTTTCTCAAGTTTACTGATTTATTTTTAAAAATATTCTGAGCACAGAGAATTGAGAAATGTCATACCTCAATTCACAGAACACTATGATCACGTGGGGATCTCTGGAATTTTAAATTCCTTTAACCTTAGAATTTCCTCTTATCCCCATCCCTCCAATAGATACCCAAAGTGTTTGACATAGATCCTTAATTACATAAAATGTATGTCTGTAAAATAACTGTGTGTTACTTTAATTCATATAAAGGTACTTAATTTATATAAATTTCATTCTGTTTCTTACTTTCTCACTCACATCTATGTTTTCCCTACCACCTGTGTATGCCTGTCATACTGTGGTGACTTGTGTATTGCTATGATGATGCTGTGCCACCAATATTTCACTAGGGTCACCCGTGGAAGACAGGTTTCAGTGAAGCTTCTAGACTAAGACAAATTAGGAGGAAATTCCTGTCAATCTACTTCAGAAAATTAGCCAGTGAATCCTATAGTTCACAATAGAATACTGTTTGATAATAGTACTGAGGAGGAGCTCTCATGGCCTAATGATTAAAGAATTTGGCTGCTAACCAACAGGACTGTGGTTTGAACTGAATAGCCACTATGCAGGAGAAAGATGAGACAGTCTGCTTCTGTAAAGATTTACAGCCTTAGAAACTCTCTGGGCTGTTCTACTCTGTCCTATAGGGTTGCTATGAGTTGGAATCGACTTGATGGCAGTAGGTTTGGGGGTTTTCATAGTGCTGTTAGATAAGGCTCTAATGGAAGGCACTCAGAATACACAGTGGCTGCACTGTTCAATGATAATTTAATGATTTTCCCATCAGCAGCTTTCTGGATACTTTGGCCTGCTAGTCATGTCTCATTTCTTATCATCTTTCCACCAACACTTATGCTTCGGTCACAATGAAACAAGTCATGTTCTTTCACATGTTCTCACCTTTCTCAGGGATTGTGCCCTCTGCTTAGAATGCCCTCTCCCTTACTCCCACATATCCTTCCATTTGACAGCCCCGGAATTGATTATTCCGGAAACCTCCTTATGTGCACCTCAGCTTCCTCCAGCTACCCCAGGTTTTGGTCTCCATTCCATCACTTGTCTGTACTCATTACATAACAAATATTCCAGTGTTCAGTAATTGTTCATTTAGCTGTGTACATCTAGAGAGATCTAGATTGTGAAGTCCTTGGATTCAGTTACCTTGTCCTATTTATCATTGTTGCTGCTAGATTTCATTTTAGTGCCTAATACATAGTAACTATTCAATACATATTTGTTGAATGAGTGAGTAGCCAAAGCAATCTTTGAACCCAAGACTTTTCACTTCTAGTTTAGGGTTCTTTCTGCTGTTATCAAAATGCCTCTCCCAGTTGAAAATTACATACTATATACATTACAGCTATCTACCTGATTATTAACAAGAAGTATTATTGGAACAAAGAGATTAACAATATATTTTTTTATAGTTCTATCACATCATGTAAATAATGCAGTAAAGATTTTGTTCTGACCTGCGATTTACACAAATCTCTTATGTTCTGTCAACAGTTTAGAAATAAGTACCACTAATTAAGTGGAAAAAAAGTGTTACTCATTTATTCATTCATCAAAAATCCTATTAAGACAGATTCACTTATATACCTCTTTTGCCAGTTTATATACCAATTGGTAAAGAAGGGGTGTACAATCAACTCTGAGAGTATAATTGCCTGAAAGTAAATACAAACACAAAGAACATTATTTCATACTTATAAATGAAATTCCATACATGTTTCATTCTAACTTCATTTCCTAATTATAAACAAGATATAACATAGACTTTGAATCTACAGCATCAATCCTAGGCAATAAAACAGGGTACAAATAGTTCTTCGGGAGGGGAAGAGGGAGGCTACAGCACAAATTTTGGACAGAAGAAGGTATAAGTGGACACTGGTTGCTAAGGCAGCAGCTCCGCAGCAGTCTTAACAGTCATCTTTATGATAACATCTATTAGGGGAACTTTGGCAAAGAAAGCCATAAGGCTACAGCAGTAGTTTATTATTCATTCATTTAATTCAATTGTATATAGCATTACATTAGACTAGAACATTTCAGTAGCTAGAATGTATGCTCTAACATTTATCTAGAGATTATTGAAGTGAAATAAAATCCTAGAGACCCAAATGTCATATGTCAGATGCAAGAGGAAGTTGGTTCAAATTTGTTCCAATACATACAGGAAATATTTCCTATAGGACTAAAACTCTTTAATCAAATTCTTTTAATAGAGCCGTAGGAGGGGGAAAAAAAAAAAAAAACAAAACTCACTGCCATTGAGTCAGACCCGACTCATAGCGAACCTTCCTTGAGTTTCTGAGGCGGTATCTCTACAGAAGTAGATTGCTGAACCTTCCTTCCAAGGAGTGGCTGGTGGGTTTGAACAGCCAGCCTTCTGGTTAGCAGTCAAATGCCTCAGTCACTACACCATCAGAAGCATGTTGTTAATATTAAGAGTTTTAAGAGTTATCCAAGATAGGCAAATGGTATATATACTAAAAAAATTAGGATCAATAACTTAATTATAAATCATATAATCCACTGACTTTCTCTGTGGCAAAATGGAAAATGAAGGTATTATTGAAGTATCTCATAGAAACAGTACATCTGAGAAAGTTAACAAGTTGGAACTTAAAGGCTTAAAGTATGGTATATTGTCTAAAAACTATCTGAAATAAAATTTACCTTCTACAGATGAATCTGAGTTGATATAAGCAATGCTTCTCTCCTGGAGTGTTTTTGCATTTTCCTAAAGTTGAAACAGAATTGTTACTTTATTTATAGTACTTTCATTTGTGGAAATATAAACCAAACAAGTAAATTAATTTAGTGGAAAAATAGTGTACAAATACCTTGTGTACAAACAAACACCTTTATCAGTCAAATACCTATGCTCTTTACTACCATCAATTTACAAGAAAATGCTGATAATTTGTTGGTTAATAATAACATTAATGCAATTACACAAAAAAGAAGAATATTATAAAATGGAAGTTACTATGTGTAGCTATAGCACGATGCCCCAAAGAAGGGATTATTTCCAAAGTCGTGCTACCTGGTTCCCTGTGAGCATGAGATATACAGAGGTGAGGTTCCCAGATTCTGGGGTTGAAGAAGGTGGGAGAAGAGTAAGTGCTTATCTAGTGCATCTACCTTTATAAAAATGTAACGAACTTACCTTACACATTTAAGAATTTAGAGATTACTCAACAGAGAGGCTACGGGAAGAAGATGAAAGAGGGGCCTTAAGAGAGATGCTTAAAGATAAAGCATTAAGAGCCAATGACAAATGAAAATCACATCTGAAGGAAAAAACAAAGCTCAGAAACTGCAAAGTAAGTCAACTTACTAAGGTAATTCCATTGATAAAAATACATCCTACACTTAAAAGTCAGACAATTTTTTTTATATGAATGGTAACATTTAACTATAATTGTAACTTTACAGGGACTGTGAAACATGAAACTATAATCAAAGTATCATCACAGAGCATCTTAAAAGGAAGAACTCCAAAGAAATTTCAAAAACTTGAAAGTGAACTCCAAGGACTTGTATCAGATTTTAGATTATTCACATCAAAAAGAGCTTGTTACTTATGATTATTTTCTGAGCATACTTATTTTACTATTATTCACAAAATAAGTACAAATAAACACAAAAATATTTTGACAATAATGAGTAATTTTTGTAGCCTACTAACTAATTAAGAGATTATTCTGTTTTTCCAAATTGATATGAGAGTAAAAACAAAGGAATCTATTTGTAGTCATCCTGAGATACATACATTTGGTCCCTGTGGTCCAAGAAAATAGCAAGAACCTTCTCTGTCTTACTTACCTCAGCCCATTCTGTAGAACCTAGAAGTCCGAATTCTTCCGCATCCCAGCTGGCAAAAATGATAGTTCTTCTAGGTCTCCAGCCTGTAATCATTGTGAACACACATTGTTAAGTATACTCCTTAAAAATAAAGAAAAAATAAGTAACTTTCCGTCATCACCTACCAAAGAACATTACTTACCTCTACTCATCAGTTTTCCAAAACTCTGGACAATTTCTTGCAAAACAGCAGCCCCACTGGTTGGATCAATACCTCCAAATACCCAGGCATCCCGATGACCTCCTAGAATAACATACCTGTCTGGAAAAAAAAATGTGTTTTAAAAGAACTATAACTTTAAATACATTATAACTGGCTGTACTTTGTTTTAAAATTAAGTGTAGTCTTGCTTGAGCTTTCTCCCACAGAGAAAAGAAACACTATAACATAGAAACTTCTTTTAGAATTGTACTTGTTTTTCCCCTCCAAATCTAGTAGTTTCATGTTAGATAGGAAAAAAAAGTTAATTGTTGACTGCAACTTATCTTTCTCTTACTCCTTTAATCTTTATAAAAACCAAATTACCAAAAAA